AATTGCTTTAGCTTCTGAACTGTCCAACCCTCTTTGTACTTGTTGTTCATGATCTTCAATATTTGTAACCTCAGAGGTAACATGATTAACTTACTTTATATACTTTTAAATATTATCTCATTTTTGGTCCTACATTAGTTTGCTTACGACACATTTTTACGTACGAAAATATAGGGTGTAACACGCATGATTTGTACTACTAGTCCTCGGAGATTCTTGCATAAAAATTCAGTTATATTTTCATTATTTCTCTCAATAAATCTCAATTGAATTAGATTGTTGCTTATTGTCTTACCTAGCGGGTTGGTTAGGTGCCATCATGACTAGTTGGATTTTGGGTCGTGACACCAAAATACTCTAGTTCTAAAATCTCTTGGAGCACACCATAATAATCAATATCTCCATCACCCTTTACCTACACCCCACTATTATTGGTTTTCTTATTCTTAGTCCATTCTTCTTTATGAAACTTGTACCCATTGACAAAGTTCTTAGACATCATTTTGACTTTATGGTCATGTCCCCAAGATATATCACGCAAAAATGGGTTATTTATGCCATTGATTCGATTATCAACCTATATAGAGTTAAATAAAAGATAGAATTTGAAATATACATGTACTTAATTTGAAGCCACAAAATAAAACTTAGAAACTCCTTAAACCACTCTGAAAATCATGGATAAATAGCATCAGGCACATTTACACCTATAAAGTAACCGCCCGACAAAATTACAACTTTCATTAGTTAAAATAACCTTGATCTTGTGATAATCGTCTTTAATATAAATTAAGACTTACTTATAATAGGGTTGGATCTCTGAACTGTCACGACCCAAATCGATAGGCCGCGACGGGCACCCAGTGCCTTACCTAACCGAGCACCAATGTAACATATCTCCTCATCATACCATCATGGGTAAATGGGTCAGAAGTGACGTCATGAGATAACCAGAATAAAACATAAGGGAATACTAGACATAGGATGACCCAACATGTTATAGAATTTTATACATGTGACATACGGGCCTATAAGGCCGATATGATCATTTGTACACAAAAAACGTAGGCCGACAAGGCCATATAAGTATCCATAAACATGACATCTGTCTACAAGCCTCTAAGAGTACGTAAATATCATAAAGGTCGGGATAGGGTCCCGCCATACCAATTAATACATGTCCAAATCATACTGACCAAATAGGTAACTTCGGAGCAAGTGGAGTGCACCAACACCTTCCGATAAGCTGATAGCCTACTAGCAGGACTCTAAACCTGCCTATCAGGACCTGCAGGCATGAAACGCAGTGTCCCCAGGCAAAAGATACGTCAGTACAAATAAAGTACCAAGTATGTAAGGCATGAAAGCAGTATATAAAAGACATGAAAGAAACACAGAGTAAATAACTCAACCTGTAAGTCTGAATAGCTCTGTGAATCATGAAACATTTATAAAGTCATGCATATGCATATAAATGTCACATCATGCATAGGTATGTACGTACATAACCCCTGAGGGCACCCCATCATATCATCTAGGCCTCTGTGGGAGAAATAATTAACGTAGACTAGTTGATCAGGTGGTGGTGTGTATATAACGCCATAACCTTTCCCCATACCCCATATACATATACTATAGGCGTATATAACACCATCTGATCATGGGTCAATATACATGTATAAATGAATGCAATGCATAATAAAGTAAGTCAATAAGATCTCCCGGAATATCATGAGATCAATATGCCTTCGGTAAATATCATGAAATAAACTTTATCAACTTACGTATTTTTTGAGACCCATGAACAGACGATAGAATAGTAGGACACATGGGGAATCAAGAACATAGGCACCCCTAGTACTTCTAAGAATAGAATCATTTGTGAAAGTTGCGTGCTTGCTCGTTTCGTTGCATCATATGGATCAAGCCAAAAGGAAAGAAGGGATAGCCTTAACAAACCTTAGCTCTATTGAGTCCTTAATACCTTACAAGCAATTCTTCAAACAACTCAACTCAATCTACCATAGCATAAGGAGATTCAAAATCAGTGTGCGGAGTAAAGGTTAAGTCAGTTACTTAAACTAGTAACTCATTTATGTAAATTTGGACAGCATCTCCCCTGTAACAAGAGACTCCTCCAATACCATATACCAACAACAATTACTATAGCAATCCAGCAATACATAATTATCAATAACAAGACACCATATAACAATAACAAGTCCCAACTACTTCACGACGAGCGGCAAGCTCCGATTGAAACCTGTATACCCCATATCACCCCTTATAGACTTCTTAATTTGACTTAGGAAGTATCATTAACATGATAATGAAGTCATTCATCAATGATTCCAGTCTTATACCATATATATATTATGAATAAAATAATCCATAACTCTAACTAACCTCAATTAGCAACTTTATTCACTAGTCCATGCCTAGCCCATCTATTTAACTTAATTAACATCAAGATAACCTTAAGAACATGCAAGAACACAATATAATTTCCACCTACCGTGGATTCAAGTAGAAATCCATGTTATATTTAGCATACAACAGCCCAACACACCCAATCACTTCATTCCCAAGACGACAACTATAGTAGTGTCAAACACCCCGAAAAAGTTGCAAAGAGCGACTAATCCACTATTTCGCCATTATGTGGTGTTTCTCCACACAATTTCTCTTCAAAAACTTCATTAAAAAGTAGCAAAATATACAGCCCAATAACAACACGAAACATCCCACAAAACAGTCCACTACAAGTCGAATAACTCGAACTCACAGCTTTCGATCACCGTCCCGTGAGTTCTATCTATTAGGAAACGAATTTATCAACCTTTCTTGATATTTAAAATCTTAAATACAGAAAGTAGGTATTTTATTAACTATTAAATACCTTCCAAAACTCAAACTACAAAGAAACAGAGAGGCGATATAGAGATACTTACGTCGTAGGGATCGTTCTAATGTCATCGCCTTTTGATTTCGTACCCGGGATGTTAATCTTCTTTGAAACCCTTATAGAGAGCTTAAGGGTAAGTTTATGGGTCTTATTTGGTCATTTTCTCTGGAAATATTAAGAAAGAGACGACATAAGGGATATAAATTTCCAATTTGTTGAAAAGTCAAAAAGGTGCTACTTGGCACCCTAGCATTAGCCTTTCTTCCAACACTTATATCATTTTATTCGTATGTAGTATGAATGAACGGTTAAAAGAGTTGGAAACTACATTCCAAGACCTTCAATTTGGTATATAATATGTCCCAAAAAGACCTCACATAACACACGAAAGGTATTTCTCAAAAAGCTTTAGTGACCGACCTACTTGTCACCTATGCAGTCTGCGCAGTCTCGCAAAACTACAAATATTTCTCTGCTCCAATGTTGTATCGAAAAATGGTTTAATGAGTTAGAAAATAGACTTGTAGATCTTCAATTTGATATGTGGGTCATCCTGTAATTCGAAATATATTAGGAGAAAAACTCTGCTGCATTTGACCTAATATTCAACACATTATGAATGTAACTTGTGATGACTTTTTGCCAACTTTCGTTCCAAAACTCGCTTGACTTCAAAATGTAATACACGACTATCATACGACTAAAATAGCTCATAACATAACCTCCTTATCATGTTAAGAACCCTAGTATCACCCCAAAAGTACATGTTATAACATTCCTAACTTGTTGACATTCGACGAAACTTATTTTCTTCAATTTGCTTAGCTCCTAAGCCTTTCAACCCACTTGGTAGTTGTTATCCAAGATCTTAAAGATTTGTAACCTCCAAGATAACATGATTAACTTACTTTATTAACTTACTTTATGTACTTTCAAAGATGATCTCATTTATGAGCTTACATCAATTGACTTATGATGTACTCTCACGTACGAAAATATTGGGTGTAACATGGACAATTCAACAAGACATGTGTTGTAGCGGACTTTTTCTCCATCTATGTCGAATTTTGCTTTTTACTAGTTTTTGGACCTCTACCTGGTAGATTGAATTTGAAAAATGGTGGTGCAAAAGGATAAGTAACACCTCCATCATCATGTCGATTTGGCCTATTTCTAAAACATGTCACATCATGTTAAAAATAATATGAACAGTAAAAAAAAATTTCTTTAGCTAGATGTGCCTTGCATATCGATCCATCAATCCTGGATCTATTTTTCATGGTCTACTTATATTTTCCAATAGTCCTGCATATCACAATTTTTAGATGAAATAACGTTTAATTAAAACACATCAAGGGAAAATAATTTAAAATCATTACCTTTCGTAAGGATACATCCATCTACACTGAACGAGCCATCCAAGTCGTGCCTCTTGCGCAAGATGAATTGGAAGATGTTCCATTACATCAAAAAAATCAAGAGAATTTTTTTTTTCCAGCTTGTTTAAAGTTAAGCAAATGTTACTCTCCATTTAAGCTAAGTTCTCCACCTTCAATGTGCTGGAACACAACTCCTTGAAAAATAAACTTATCTCAGTAATGGGTTTCCATATTCTATCATGCAATGCTTTGAATGCAATAGGAATCAATGATTCAAGGAAAATGTGACAATCGCTTGCTCTTCATAGACGTCAACTTCCCTTCTTTCATGTCAACAAACCTAGATAAGTTTGACGCATATCCATCAGGCATACTTAAATTCTTAACCCAATCACAAATATCTATTCTCTCATCCAAAGTGAATGTGTAACTGGCCTTGGGCTTCTGAATCTTGTTGTTCAAGTATGTCAGGTACAACTCACTTCGCCTACAATATTCCTTTAAGTCCATCCTAGCCTTCAAGTTATCTTTTGTCTTGTTATTAACATCCATTACGGTATTAAATATGTTGTCAAAAAAGTTTTTCTCGATATGCATGACATCCAGATTATGCAAAAGAATGTTATGCTTCCAATATGGTAACTTCCAGAATATGCTCTATTTGGTCCAATTATGCGTAACACCATAACTAGGTATCTTATAAGATATAGGAGACTCTGTTATCTTAGGTAGAAACCTAACTTTGTTCCAAATTTCTTTTGGCGACAATGTTGATGGTGGCTATTCAAAATCAGTTTGGTTCTTCATAAAGGCACTAGTATTTCTCCTAAACTCGTGATCCCTATGCAATAATCGACGATGGCAATCAAATCATGTGTTCTTTCTTCCATGTTTCAATATGAATGCTTTTGTGTCTTCCATACAAGTTGGGCAAACTAACTTTCCTGCAGTCGACCACTCGGACAATATTCAATAAGCAGAAAAATAATTTATAGCCCACATCAAAGTAGCACGCAATCTGAAGTTTTGTTTAGTTAATATATCATATGTTTCCACACCCTCATGCCACAATGACTTTAACTCATGCATTAAAGGTTGAATGTATACATCAATCGAACTTTTCGGATTGCCTAGACCTCGAATAATACAGGTTAGGAACAATTATGGACTTGTCATATACAACTCAGAAGGAAGATTATGCGGCGTAACAACCACCGGCCAACATGAATATGGTGCAACATAGATAAAAAATGGAGTGAATCCATCTGCACATAAACCCAAGCTAATGTTTCTTGTTTCATTAGCAAAATCCGAAAATACCTTATCAAAATGCTTCCATGCTTCTCTATCTGATTGATGACATAAAATACCAGGTGGCCGTCTATTTTAACAGTGTCATCTCATATGAGGAGCAGAGCTCATTGATGCATACAACCTCTTAAACCTAGGTATAAGGGGTAAGTAATGCATCACCTGGAACCTTATTCTTTTTTTGGAATTTGTGACTTCCTTGTAACGAGGTTGGTTACAAAATTTATAATTTTCTAAAGCTGCATCATCCTTATAGAATAACATGCAACCTTTCTCACAATAGTTCAATCCTCTCTGATGAAAGTCCTAGCTTAGAAACCAATTTCTTTCCTGTGTAGAAATCTTTGGGTAGGTCAATTTTATTTGGACTAAGTTCATTCATAAGGCCAATGATAGAGTCCATGCCCGCTTTAAAAATACTCGAATCCAATTTAATACTTAATAATCGAACCGCAACAGACAACTAAGAATGCATTGAGCTATTATACAATGGACGACTAGCTTCCTATAACTATTCATAGAAGCGCTCAGCATCATCATTTGGTTCAGACTGAGCCCCCAGGTGCATCACAAAAGCATCCCTAACCATTTCATTGAATCTAGAATTTTCATCATTATTCTGTGCTAAAGGACTACCCTCACTACCAAAACAATTTTGAAAATCGACATCACCAACACTAGCACCATCCTCTCCATGAATAGTCCACACGTAATAATTTTTCATAAACCCTTTTTTATAAAGATGAATTTTAACAATATCTGGTTGCAATAACTTTTCACACTTGCAGTTCACACAATGGCACCTAAGCACCCCTTCACTGAGAAATTTATGAAGTGTTTTCGCTTTAGCCATAAATTCAGCAACCCCTTCTATAAATTCCTCCCTCGACCCACTATGATTAGGATAAGTCAGACTATATATCCATCTACGATGTGAAAGCTCCATCTACACGAAATAAATCCAAGATTTTTAAAACAATATATATTACTTAGTATTATGCCAAACAGTTTGCTATAAAAAACTTGATTCTTTCAATGGCAAAAATATATTTTGTGGCCATCCTAGAATATTCAAAAAATTTGTCAGCCCATCCAAAAAGAATAAACAAACAAATAGATAAGTGAAGCAAGATTGAGAAAGAACTATTCAAATTATTGCAGTGAAAAAGAACCAGAGTTAAAAAATTTTAATCTTAAGTCTCAAACCAATAAACTCTAATCTAGGTTTGCGGTCTACAATTCTTCTGTAGATTAGTTATTGGCTCTACCTCAAAGTTAAAGAGGCAAATTACATCACAATTTTCTTAGTTGATCAACTAGTTCATTGCTTTTAAGGCTCTCAGAAAAATCTCTCTGAATATCAATGCAAATATTTATTACAACTTCCCCATAATTGATCCCTTTCCCATATTCAACCCCTTAATTCCCCACAATTCCTCATCCTTTCAATTAAAATGTATAAAAGTTCAAAGCCTCCTCTTAACAGAACTGAACGGAAATATAAGCAAAACATTTACACTAACGAGGTTTAATTTGGTTTTCAGTTTCTTAAAGAGAAAGTGTGCAATTCCTCCGTTCGAATTTCAAGGTCTGCTATCACGCCAAAACCTTTAGACCAAAGGAGTATATGTATAATATTTACTTTTCTTTATAGGTGTTGAAAAATATAGCTATAGAAACGAACAAATTCCGGATCTCTCAAGCTATTGAAACCTATTTTGTTATTTGAGCTATTAAAAGGATAAATTTTCACTACTGCATGAGGAAATTCGTTCTCCTTTCATCTATAAGATGTCTTTTTCAGTTTAGGATAATGCTTAAAATAAAAAATATCTAGGAAATAAAAAGTGAGACAGAGACAGAAACAAACCGAAAAGAGGAGTGGAAGAGAAATTGGAGCGGAATTGGTCTTCAAGAGTCGAAGAATAGGCTTAAAATTTATGCCGTTAGCCGAAAATTGCCATCCGCCGTTTGCCTCCGTCAACAACAATAATGGTTGAATGGAAGAGAAATTGCAGAAGAAAAAACAAATATTGATAAAGAGATAGAGATAGAGGAAATTGGGGAAATATGGCCGAAATAGGGTTTTGGCCTAAAATATTAGATTTACCTTTCTCACCATTAAAATACAATCGCGGTCACAAAAACCTCTAAAATATTCTTTTACCATTTTAATTTTTATTTTGCGACCGAAGCAGTCGCTTAATTGGTCAACTATTATTATTGACTTTTTATTGGTCAATATCAATCGAAAATTTTGATCGCAAATTAATATTTTTCTAGTAGTGCGAGGTAGTATCCGATATTTGAGGACTTTGTGTTTGCTATTCAGTGGAGGATCGTATTATGTACTTATATCTGTTTTCACTATTCTTACTTGCCATGTTTCATACCTGTCAACTTGTGTTATTATACTTGATTTTATTGGACCAATAGCAAGTGTCGATGTCGATCCCTCGTCGCTACTTTTTCGGGGTCGGACTAGATACTTACTGGGTATGCATTTATTTACGTACTCATGCTATAATTCTGTACTAATTGTGCAGATTCTGACAGATTCATTTAGTGGTCATTCTGGCACATAGGCGCAACTGTTAAGCGGACTTTATGGTGAGCTGCATTCCATTCCACGATCTGCAACACTCAGAGTCTCCATCATATTCATTTATTTTACCTTGTCTGTTTTTGAATTTCAAACAGCTATTGGAGTAGTATTGTACATTCCAGTAGATGCTCATGCATTTATGACACCGGGTTTTGGGAGTTCCAAGTGGATGTTCATAATTGTATTTTATGTTCTTATTATCATTTCACTTTATGATTTATTTATACTCAAAAATTTGGTAAGGAAAAGCACAGGTCTCTATGAGTGCTAGATTTTATTCTATTTATTTAATGATATTCCTGATTTTAAAATTTTAAAATGGATAATAAAATGGATGGTTCACTGTTGGATTGCCTAACGACGACGTTGGACACCATCACGACCTATGGTGGTAACAGGGTCATGACAGTTTGGTATCAGAGCTCTAGGTTCACTTGGGTCTTACGAGTCATTAGCAAGTCTAGTAGAGTCTTGTGGATCAGTATATAGATGTCTGTATCTTCGAGAGGCTACAATGTTGTTAAGATAACTTCCGTTCTTGATACCTCGTCATACGATTTAGTTTCACTGAAGCTTATGTCTTCATTTCCTTCTTACTCATTATAACGCGATGTTGAGCTTCTGTTATCAATTGGGCATCAAGGAATTGTAGTGGTGTCGTAGTTGTGGTACAAGATGTTTTCCCTGCATACTTGGGCGGACGATTATCGCCACTGCATGGAGGGGTGTTTAGTCATTTCAGCCAGTGTTAGTGTTGCCTACGGTTTCGAGGCTATGTATAGTGTATTGTAATATTCATGCATTGTTATTGTGCAGTGCTGGGGTAAATGGTTGGATAATTATTTATGTATTGCGGCAATGAATGACTCAAAAGTAGGATTACTGGGTTCATGGTTTAGAGATTCGGCATTTAGTCCCAGCGAAGGAGAGGCAATTGGACTACGGATGTTCAGGTGTTGGTTGACGGAGTTCTGAGATGGGGTATTTTCGAATTTGGTGGAATTCTTGGTCGTGATATGGTGTTGTCTTCCTTGTTTGAATGAATTAAGGCTCGTCGGTGTGATGGTCTTTATTTGTTTGTCTTCGGGGCAAGGTGTTGTGAAATGGTACCTAAGAAGCAGTTACCGAAGATGACAGAGTATTGCGACTGCTGAAAAGAAAAGATGTCTCCATTAGTGGAAATTTATTATTCGGGTGCTACGGAGGTGGATTGTGATGTGGGGCAGCATGATTAGTGGTGGAAGATGGGGCATTACTGGATATATTGTGGTGGTTGAATTGTTAAGTAGGTCGAGTTTGAGCGGCAGAGATCGAGTGGTTTGCCTCGGTAGAAGGCTAAGTCTTAGTATTTCATTTGAGATGGTGGCTTCTATACTTAGGATGTTTGAATATGACGGAAAGGAGTTTGCTTGGAATGAAGAGGAATAGGAATGCTTGATTATCGTTTTAGGATGTAATATGACTTCGAGTTTTGAACGCATTGTTGGATCTTCAGTTGATGGTAATGGAAATGAACGGGCGTTTACAACTAGTGGGCGAGTGTGGGCTCAGGAGGATTAACCGATTTTGTGGTGGTTGTAACCATGGCAATGTCATTGGAAGATATCGATATGGGGTTACACAGGTGGGCTATCTCCTGTGTGGATGTTAGGAGTTGCGTGATTTTCAATAAAGAGTTCTACCTTCTATCCAACGGGGTGTATGTACTGCGGTGTGAGTTTGGATAGCTTGAAGAAGATGGTACGACTGTCAAGAGGTCGAGTGTGCGATTGAGGCTGATAATTTGGGATGTATCGTGATTAGTGCAATAAGAATTTATGAGAAATTTGGCTAAGTAATGGTGCAAGATCATCGTAGTAGAGAAGGAGGAGTCATTTTGGGTTCTGGATTTAGGTGATTGTAGTGTAAAGCTAAGTGGGAGAGCCTACCGCCTATTATTAGGTCACATGGTTATGTGCCTTGGAAGTATCGGATTATCGGTACATTGTTGGATTAGTTATGACTAAGGGAAGAAAACATCAAGGGTAATTCGGGCAAGGAATTTAATGAATGCGTGCTACATTTCGCCTTATCGATTCATGTGCAGATTTTGGGATGACACAGAGTTTATGCTTCTTGTGGATGTGATGTACAAGGAAAGAGATTCATCCGGTTGCTTCTTTGGAGTATTCATGTGCTAACGGAGCACTAGTTGTTTGGTTACGTAATCGGGACTGGATTAGAGTGAGCGAATCTCAACAATGGTTCTAGTGGGTTCAAGAATTCAAGTGTCATGCCTAAGAATTTTTGGGTTCGTCGTGTGGTTAAGGGATTAGTTTTGCAGCAGAGTGTGAAAGAGACTTGGAGTATTTCTATGAACGGAAAAAGGCCAAAAATGCCCCTAACGTATTGACAATGGGTCAAAAATACCCTCTGTTAATATTTTGGTCTAAAAATAGCCTTAATGTTTTATTTTTGGCTCAAACATACCCTTGAAACTAACGGATCATTCAACTCCTCCCTTCATGCTTAAACACCGATCATCCCAAATATAGGCATAATATTCATATTCCCATCACACGTTGGAACCTTCTGCATAAAAAAACTTCTATTACCATGAATACAATTGAAATTGTAGACCTTTAACCGAATTGAATAAAAATAACTCTTAGATATCAAAATAAAAGTGCAGCAAATAAAATATATTTTTCTGGAAAATAAAATATATTCATCCATTTCCTCCTCTGTTTCTACATCCTATCAAGAAATTTTACTTTATAGATCTTTGGGTTGAATCCTATTAAGAACTTTGGCTTTATAATAATTCCTCCGTAAAGAATGCTTATCAAATTTTTACAGAGAGTCTTACCGTTTGAGTCATGCAGGTTCTATTTATGAGTGCTACAATTGTGATTTCCTTGTCAAAGTCATAAACCTTACACAGACACTTCCCCTCTACGTCCCTGACCTCAATTCAATTTTTACTGTATATGCATATGAGCAGGCCTTTGTTCTCCATTAACTGCAAAAATTTGCTTGAGCTATTATTAAATCCAACCTCCTCCAATTATATATTTATTCTCCCTTCCCCTGGCGCTCTCTTTCAGTATAAACAATAAGGTCTGGGAAGGTTTCATTGACGCTCCATTGATGTGAATCAATGATCAAGAATGTATTTTATCCTTGTTTGTTAGACAATGGCACGTAAATTATGCATATTATAGATGAGATTATTTAGGGAATGAATGGAAGTTAGGATGAAGTGTTATTGTTCAATGGAGTTTGTTCTCATGTGCAAAGGAGTACACGTGGTAGGCTTAGAAAATGCCACGTGGCTATTTAAAAGTGATAAAATTTACCATCCATGTTCTGTTACATTCAAGGGTATGTTTGAGCCAAAAATATAACTTTAAGGGTATTTTTAGACCAAAAGGTTAAAGGAGGGTATATTTGACCCATTGTCAATATATTAGGGGCATTTTTTGCCCTTTTTCGTTCTATGAATGTCAATGGGTCTGCAATGTGATGTTAGAGAGATGGAAGAAATAACTTCGGATTCACAGAAGATCTTTCATAATAGGTGTATCAGTTGGAGATGCTAATGAGTACATGAAGAGTTAAATTGGCATATGGGTATTGATACGACGTGGTCTCGCACTTTGGGTCACCCGGGATAAGTATTGATCGAGGTCCGTTATGTGTTTGAATAGATGTAGTACTTCGACGACAAGTCAAGAGTAAATCGGAAGGAGTTGAGTCAGTTATTATTGGCATGGATCAGCATGGTTAAGGAGATAATCGGTTCCTTCAGTGTGGTAAGGCTATACAGGTGATTCGTGATTGTACGTGCGGGCTTGACAACCACCGTAATTTGATTGATTTGGAAGTATTTGATTCTGATGGTTTTGTTATGTGTAAATGGATCCTATAAAGGTTATGACGATTTAGAACACGACTTGAGTTCTATGTCTTTTGCGGTTATGGGAAGTTGGTTGTGTGTGACGATTTTTCTTTTGAAATGAGTTAAGTGAAAGGTTTCTAGCCGATAAAGTATTTATTCTACTGGTGGTTCAGAATTTATGATGAAATTCTTATACTTTCGCGTAGCAACATGATAGGTGCAATGAGCGATATGGAATTAGAATGAGGATCAAAGTTGCAATCCGGTTTTGACTGGAATGTCATGAGCTTAGAAGAGCTGGGGATAGATTTTAGATGTTCAGAATATGCCGGCACTATTTTTGAGTCGTCTGAGAGTGGTGTTTTGTGGAAGAGGTATTGTGTGTTGATTTGTGAATTCTTAATTGGCATTACAGAAATAGAACGTTGGTGGAATGGATGTGCATACTTTGCTACTTGGTGCGGAAGGTCGTAGGAGTATTTCCCACGGGATGATCATATAAGTGTGGTGTGTCAGTCATTTAAAGGGCAAAGGTTGAAATCAGATATGGAGATTCTGGTACTGGCACTGATGGGAGAGTTTATGGCTGAGA